AGCTATAATGTGCAATATTTTAAAAATAATCACAGTGATGAATTTTTTATGCTCCTAAATTTTTTCGATTCTGGATCTGGGATTTGTTTTTTCTCTGAAAGAGTATTATTTAGATTTAAAAAGAAAACGTAATAAAAAATCTCTCATCATGGGATTACAGCAAATAAAATAAAAGTTTTTTTTATTTGGTTATAGGATCAAAGATAGCTAATTAGGTATTGAAGAAGTTTTTATTTTTGATGTTTTATATCGCGCCAGTAAACTATATCTGAGTAAAAGTGCATTTTTTATTATGTTTGAAAGTATTTTGTTTTAATTAATTCCAGAAAATTAATTATTTTTTAAATCTTTTATTTTCGATATGCCCGCGCCCCCCGGGGGGCGCCCCACAGTTTGAGAAACACTGAATTAATGTACTAAATCGAATTTTGTTTCAATGTACTTGATTTTTTTTTGCTTTTAGTAGGAAGCTTTTTGAACAGTTACATAACTAATTTTCGTATATTTGTATTACGTGAAATACTTTGGGCCCTACAACTCTTTAATATTTGGCGATTAGATAAATTAATTTTTTTCTCAGGCATCTGAAAATATAGTACTAGTAGGATTCAAAAGTTCCCGGACTGAGCCTCTAACGTGAACATTTTTTCAGTTGAGTGACTACAATAACATTTCTGTGTGTTACTGCATTCTTCCCTTTTTCTAAAAAAAGTTTGTTCCAAATCACGTGGTTGGTGGGTTGCCACTGCATTATATTTTATTGGCGTATGTATTTAGCCGTCAGCGGTCGAAAGAAATTGCGTTTGTTGAGCGGATAATGGATATTAATTTTTGTGTTCGCTTGGGAAAAAGTGCTACGAAGACTTACGAAATTTTGAAGCAGGTGTAAGGCTGTGTACATTTTCACGAAAGCAAGCTTTTTGAGGAATATCTACGTTTCCAGAGCAGGCAGGGAAAGTGTCAAAAACGACAAATGCTCTGGACGTCCATAGACTTCCCTCACCGCTGGAAGCATCGAAAAGGTTTCAGGGGTGGGACGCATGTCCTTTGGAACAAGCGTCCATAATGCGTCCTTTAAGGTACTGTAATTTTTATGGAGGTTTCGCACAGATATCCTCACAGGAAAAGCCCAGTGGAGTTAGATTAGGCTTTCACTTAGGCCAATATTCAACACCGCCATACTCAATTATTTGATTCACAAATTCCTGACGATGTAATTCTTCATTGAAGATTTCTTGTGGGTAGGCATGCCATCATATCGGTCAAATAATTGAGTATGACGGTGTTCACTTTCGCCTGATTTGACTCCATTGGACTTCTTCCTGTGGGAATATCCGAAACAACAGGTGTATGTGACCTCTCCACAAACATTGTAAGACCTTAAAAGATGCATTGCGGATGCTTGTACCAACGTATCTCGTTCTACTCTCCAACGTGGGCAACGTGACATTCAAATGAGGATCCAAACGTTCATTACAGCTAACGGTGAGAAGTATAAACATCTCAAACAAAGGTGTACTGTTATAACTAATTGTTTCTTTTCTTTCTCACATCGTTTTTCTCACATCATAGTGTAGGAAATAATGAAAAACCAAGAGCGTGGTTTAATCATTCTGTCCTTTGCGTTATTGTCTTCAAGGTGACTTTCCGTACTAAATCGATGATGACTTTGTAAATCACTTTTTTCCGCTCTCTCGTTCCATTTTCGAGATAGGAATGACAACTCCTCTGATTATTTATAAAATGCGGCTGTAAAAGCTTACCATCGAGAATATTTTATTTGGCGTCGGTTGTATGATCTTTGGCGAGTTTAACGCTTGCGCAGGCGAAACGAAAAGGTACCAGATATTTATTTCGCAAGTATCATGGGATGCGTGAGTCACACTATGGAGCAACGCGAGGGCTACTGGCGTCAGAACTCGAAATTTTGAACCTCGGTCAAGTGATGAGGATAACACCTGAACTGACAACATCCTTCTTAACTAGTACACCATACCAACGAGAGGACGGATTTAAATTTCTTCAATCTTCTCCACAGGACGGGTATAAGTACCAATGTAAAAAAAAGAGGGTGTGGCTGTGTCATGGACATTGTCGTGTGTTGTACGTGAATACGTCGCGTAACAGGTAATGTTTTTATATAAAATATTATTTATGTATGTCATAATCATGTTTGAACACTAAGAAGTCCTTCAGGTTTCCATGTTTTGTTTATGATGGCAACTATTTCCTTTCAACTGGTTCAGGAAAGAAATCAAGCAAACAAATAATTACTGTGTTATAATATAACTTCATTAATTTTAGCTCTATTATATAAAAAGCACGACAAAAATGGCATACAGGATACATCGAGATTTCTGGTGAAAGTTAAATCAATACAGGCATTACCAAACGTTGCTGGAGAAGTTTCGATGTATGAAGCCGGGCAATGAGCGGTCTTGTGGGACATTAACATTAAAGTCTCCGACTATCATAATTGGTATAGTAAGATCAGGATCGTAATCGAGTAGAATTTTAGCGGTGTTTTTGGAATATTATACTTCAAATGGATATACACACACCCGAGTATGAATTTGAAGATGCCATTGATCTTTACGTTTACTAGACAGACATCACCATAGCCGTTGCGTGTTTCATTCCCCTATTTTTGATTCTTTTCTTCAAAAAACATGTTGACATCCTTTACAGAGGTTTTGAAATATGTCTCAATTCTCATAAATTAGATACTTTAGCTTCTAAACTTTGAAAATTTATTTAGAAAAACTTCAATTCATTCTAAATAAATAAGCAAAAAGCGAAATACACTGAATCTGAATTTTTCAAAATTTAAATTCCTGTCTGTGACTCGAGTACACGGTTATGAGGCCTTTAGAAAATGCAAAATAGCTCATTTGAACCCATAACTACTTCTATAGAGTCGTTGATAAAATATTGAATTCGTATTTGCAGTTTTTACTACTTCAAAAGAGGGAAAAGTCTGTAAAGCAGAAAATTTAAGCTGGTGTGAAATAACTTTGCAATGTGTGTGAGTTTTCTTTTAATTTTCTTTTTATCTATTTTATAGATTTTCCTTATGACCAAAATTGCTATTACTTTCTTACATTGTGCTTGCTATTGAATTTTACTTTTTTGAGAAGGGAATTTACAACTTAATTTGAATTTTGCTCATTAACTTTATTTTTAATGTACTGTGAAGTGCAATGAAAAATATTATTATTGTAATCACGTAAGAAAGTTGGGTAAAAAAATTTAAATAGTTTTCTTTCAGCACATTGTCTAGTACATAATTATCTAGCTTTGTTTTCTAGTACAATAATTGATAATTAGCTTACTGTGCTAGAATAAAATGAGAATGGATAAAATGGCGTATATAATGTGTGTTTTTTAAAATTCTACTTTCTCTTCGGAAATACTTGACTCCATAAAAAATTAGTCCTGTTTAGGCCTTCGGCGGATGCTTTCGGAGATTAACTTATGTATGCATTAAAACAACTTTAAATAGTAATCAAAAGCGATTTTTATAATACTTTCTTCCGACAGGGTTTCTGGAGATTATTTCACAAAACATACCTTATTTATCACTTAAATGTGTTAAGAATATAAACGCACGTACAAGCCCAGTGTAATTGTGAGAAAAGGACATATATTTTTTGTGAATCAAATGAAACCTTTTATTTTACAGGAAATTAGAATAGCATGAAATGAATTAATGAAATTAGAATAGCAAAACATATAGGTACACTTTTAATTCACACACACACACACACACACACACACACACACACACACACACACACACACACACACACACACACACACACACACACACACACACACACACACACACACACACACACACACACACACACACACACACACACACACACACACACACACACACACACACACACACACACACACACACACACACACACACACACACACACACACACACACACACACACACACACACACACACACACACACACACACACACACACACACACACACACACACACACACACACACACACACACACACACACACACACACACACACACACACACACACACACACACACACACACACACACACACACACACACACACACACACACACACACACACACACACACACAGGAAAGACACATTAATTATCATTCCTAAGATTTAAAAATGATTAAAAGAATAATGTTTTACTCAGTTTCACAGCTAAAACACATTTTTAATATTTATTTTCCGTCGAATTAAATTTTATATACTTTTGAGTCTCGTTAAATGTTTTTACAAATAATCAAATTTGAACAATAATTTATATTGTAAATTTTGTATAAATATAGTTTAATGACGAAAAAAAGTTGGGGTCTATATTAATCTTTCCACTTTTTGGATAATGTTAGCTCTTAATAGATTTTTTATGTAACTTAATTTGTATACAATTATAAAATAATCTGAGTTATGCCACGTAGTGTTGAAAATTTTAAAAAAAAATTCTAGATTTGTTTTCAGGTGTCTTCTTCGATTTTTTAACCCGGCAAATGTTTATGTAAATCTCATCTGCATTGGATTATTTAAAGTAAACACTTTAAATGCATACGTGTTAAAGAATTGTTTCAATGTATGTGTGCAAAATATTCTAGAATTAGGATTAATATAAAAATATTTGGAGCAAAGGAACACACTGATAAATAGCTAAAGAGAAATAGGAACAAACATTTATGTAAAAGAAAGGTATTTCTTATTTTTCCTCTTTTTCAATTCCTACTATTAGTTCACTCTCCGGCTATATATATGAATCTTGTTCAAATTTTCAATCGGTAATAAAATACTTTTTATTCATCCATTCAAGTTCAAATTCATTTTTTAAGACTTGTAGTGGATGACACTTGATGTTAATACAGTTTGTTTCAAATATTAATTCATGAATTAAATAAAAAATGGGTAAGTTGTAACAAAAATAATAGTCCAACAGCATATATAGAAAGGAAAATATTTCGTTGTGTCCCTGTAGCGCAATGGATAACGCGTTGGACTTTTAATCCAAACCTCGCGGTTTCAAAACCCACCTGGGATGGCCTAATTTCTGAGAATGTTATATATTTTTTTACTATACTATTTCATTAGAATAATTAAATTTAATTAATGAATAAATAGTAACTAACAAAAAAATTAGTACAACACCCTATATGGAAAAGGGGAAGTTGTAAGGGAAATCGCTTTCTATTTTGTCACTTAATATTGTGATTCTCTCATGTGTATATACATATTTATATTAATTGTAACTATTTAATAAGAAGTAACTAAAATAAAGTTTTTCTTTCTTCACCTAAGTAGGAATTGACTTATATTTTTTTTATATTACTTGTTCATGAATGAAATGATATTTTTATTTCAAAGGAAATCCTACTTTACGTTATTTTTCTTACCCCCTTTTCATAGATACTAATATTGCAAAGTAATATAATAGTTTGCTTCCGAAGAAAATGTTGTAACCAATAATCTATAAAAATTTTATTAGAAATATGTATATTAATGAAATTAGAATAGCAAAAACATATAGGTACACATTTACTTCATGAAAGGCATTAATTATTATTCCTAACATTTAAAAATGATTAAAAGAATAACGTTTTACTCAATTTTACAGCTAAAACACAATTTGAATATTTATTTTCCTTCGAATGAAATTTTATACATTTTTCGAGTCATTAAATGTTTTTGCAAATAATCAAATTTAAACAATAGTTTATATTGCAAATTTTGTATAACTATAAAATGACAAAAAAAAGTTGGGGGTCTATATTAATCTTTTCACTTTTTAGATAATGTTAGCTTAATAGATTTATGCAGCTCAATTTGCTTTCAATTATAAAATAATCTGGGTTGAACTACATGGTGTTGAAATTGCTTAAATAATTATAGATTTGTTTTTTCAATTTTTTAACCCTGCAAATATTTATGTAAATCTCATCTGCATTGAATTATTTAACATTTTAAATGCATAACACTTTTAATGCAGTAAACACTTTAAATGCATATGCGTTAAAGAATTGTTTCAATGTATGAGTACAAAGTATTCTAGAATTAGGGTTAATATTTTTCATAAAAATATTGGAACAAAGGAACACGTTAATAAATAGTTAAAGAAAAATAGGTACAAATATTCATATAAAAGAAAACTCTTTCCTATTTCCTATTTTTAGTTATAGCTAAGACTTTAAAAGGGGGAGTTTTTGCAGTTTATTTATCTAACTTGGGGGCTATTACTTATTTTTTAAAATCCAATTACTCTTTTTTTTAATACATGCTTTGCAAAAATGCGCAAAGAGAGTGTGTGTGTGTGTGTGAGAGAGAGAGTATTGTTTGATAGTCCAACTGTAATATTTTATTTTAAGGAGAATTTTTTTTACATATTCAATAACTATTTTTACGACTTTCTTGAAGTTTTTATTATTAGAGACTGAACAATACAAAAATTTGTTTTCGAAGACAATTTACATATTACTTTGAAGAATTTTACCAAGGGAAAAAAATATAACATCGTAAAACTATAAACAAAATACTTCAAACAATTTCTACCGAATTCTAATCTTTTTTTTACATGAAAGAAAAAATTCGGTAAAATTTTCGTACATGTGTATGAAAAATGCATTCCAATTTTAAATATAAAGAAAATCAAATCCCCCAAAAATACTCAAAAAAATATTATTTAAAAATTATTTTTTGTGGGAAAAAGTAGGTTTTTTTTTCTAACACAAATAATACTTACCTGCAAAAATAAATCTAAGAAATCATAGAGCTTAGCTTGAATAAATTAAATACAAAAAGAGATTATAATAAATTTATAAAAAAGCATATAACTTAGATCTTCTTTTTTAGAATAAATAATTTAAATGCTGCTTTCAGGGGAGTAGTTAGCACCGTATCAGCCGTATCAATGATACGGGACCCCAACATGTGTAACTACAGTCCCACTAACAGGGCACCCATATCTACAAAAGGGCCCCACAGGAATTTTGATACAGGCCCCCTCAGAGCTACGCCAGTGCTTCTTTCATATTTCATTTAACAGCCTATATCCAATTGTTTTTGTATTTCAGGAAATAAAACGAATTATAAAGAACATGAGTAATATGTTTTGTTGTCTACCTACAAATATTTGATAACTAGCTGCTAAAATGAAGCAAGTATTACTTTTAAAAACCCTCATTGTATATAGTTAATATTTATATAAAAACAGAACGCACATCTTCCACGCGGCGAAAATTAAATCGAACCCTTCTCAAGTTCAAAAGCAAGAAACGGAACGAAAAAATATTCCGCTTTTTGATAAACGATCATCGCACGGAAGTGAAGACACCTCAAGTCAGGCGGCACCCTATTTCAATAAAACTTTGTTGCTCGTCATCCGCTTAGCGCTCCCTGGTGTTGAAATTCTGGGACACACCAGGCGAATAGTTTAGTCCGGATCTCCAGCAGTTTGCTCATCGCTCTTCATCTAGCTCTCCCGGATTAAAAGAGAAAGCCGCAAAGGAGCTGGACAAAGGATTCACTTTTTAGAAAATTTGCCCGGACTTTTTAGCGTTGTTTGGATGTTGTAGCGATTGTGAAGGATTCTTCTTTTTAATAGTGTGTTGCGTTTTTTGTTTGTTTTTCCCAAATTTCTTCGTTGGATTATTTTTTAAGAAAAGTTTTTAAGAATGTATTTGCTTTTAGTCGTTGGGTTGTTGAGTAGGGTGATACTTTCTTATGCTTACAACATGTCCGGTAAGTTTATTTTCTCTTTTGTAAGTTTTATTTTTAGAGGAAGCTATTAATATGTCGTGTAGAATTTATTTCAGAATTCATTTTTATGAGTAAATGTTGTTGATGGATGTGTTTAGAAAGTTTTTTTTAAAGTTGTTTGGTTTGCCTTTCAACTTAAAAGAAAATTTAGTGTTCTTAACTTTTTTATGTTCAATTATTAAATTGAATTTTTCAGAAATTTCAAGTATAGTTATTAAAAAAGATGTATTGGTGTTGTTAATTAATTTGACATGTGCAACAATAAGTTTGGGTATAGAGTTTATTTAAGGTATTCAAACATGTTAAAATGACCGAATTCGGTCAAAACACATATTTTTTTATTGAATAGAGCTGTCTTTTGGCTTTACAAAACAAAATTTTTTAAATTTCTACTTTACCTAGAGGCCATGTTACAATAAATTTTATAAAATTAGAAAAACCGGAAGTGGGTCTTTTATAAATTATCCAGAATGTATCATGGCAAATCTGATAACTCAAAATATTATAAATGTTTTTCGGTAAAACTTTTTGAACCTGATATTTATATTATTTTCTAGAAAATATACTAAAATATTTCTTATTGTATGAATATGTTTTGAGTTATGGCTTGTTATTTAAATAATGGTCTCATAAAAAATGTCACATTTCTTATGATATTTACTCGATCAACACTAAATCTTTTAAATTTTAATAAAACATTACATTTTTAGTACATTCTCTCGATAAATGCATCTCCTTTGTCTTAGCAGCACTTTTACTGCTATAAGTTTAATATATATTTTTCTCTCCTAATTGCCTCGAAATTTTTAAAATATTGTTATAATTTCACTTATCATTGTAATTTTAGTAAAATTTTGATGTTTTTTTAAAAAATATTGTTTGTTAAATATTAGTATTTATTGGTATTGATTCCTAAAAAAGCATTTATAATGTTTTAGTATGCGATTTTTTTTTTTTTTAAAAAAAATTATTCGAACGTGTTCGGATACTTTAAGTTCACGAGTTAAAAATGAGGTATAACATTTATTAAGGGTTTAAAATTATTTGAAGAGAAAATAATTAATCAACGAAGAGAAAAATAAATAATAATATGTTATTTTAGAATTGAAAAAAATTCACAAAATTATTTAATATGAATACTGAATATTATTTATTGACCTAAACGAACCATAAATACTAATGAAATACTACATTTTTAGGGGAAAAATGATGTGAATGTAATCAATTTTGAAAAAATAAATATCTTATTAATAATTGTTTTTAAAAGTGTAATTAAGCATAATGATTAAAATTTGTGATTATTAGAAATTCAAAAATCAATACACTAAATTTTGAGAAAAGGGATTTTTTTCCTGTGAAACGATAGAAATAAAAATTTTATTACTGAATAATAAGTTGAATTGAAAATTTTAATATAAAAAAACTTTTTGTTAGGCATTACAAAGTACACTAGAAATAAGTACCATGATTCAAGCACGCTTTTTTCCCCACTACATTCTCAATCTCAAATTAATATTTCCACTTTTTCTTAAAAACTGAAATTGTTTCAATTTTCTCTTGAAATTCTTTTTATGATAAAAACGTTACGTGGTCTTAAAGTTTTAAAATTAATCAAATGTTTTGTCGAATAAAGTTTATAAAAAATAGATTGAAACTATATGAAAACAGTGTTTTAGTACATTGTTTTTATATATATGGTTAGGAAGCTGATTGAGTTAAAATCTATGATGAATTATATATAAAATTTTATTTTCACTTACTCAATACTAATATTATAGTCAGGCTATTATCAATATGTTATCGTATTCATTTTATAATTGATGTATAATATAAAAGAAATGTAATTTACAAGTTTAATTTTGTGTACAGAATGATTTAATTGCTTAGTTGTTAGCATACATTTTAATAGTTGGAGAATATGGTTGTTATTAAAATTTTTCTTTTGTAATTATATTATAGGAAAGATAAGAATTAGAATTGCAGCTGTAAATGCTTATCATTGAAACTATTTATTGATCTTAAATAGAAAAAAAATAATAGACTTTTTGCTTTAATTTTTCATCTTAAGGTATCCGACTACGTTCGTAATCGTGATTTTAAAAAAGTGCATAAATGCATAATTTTTATGATATGTAGTGTTACTTATATTAGAATACATGTATAAAATAGTTTTAAGGACATTATGACGAAAAAAAAATTTAAGTACAATATTTTGGCAAAAAATTAACTTAGAATAATCTTTTTTCAAAACGTTCTCCTTTTATAAAAAATGCTTATATAATAATAATA